CTATCTTGTCACCACAGATTACTATTCAAATTTCTTTGAAGTTGATAGATTGTATAATACAACATCAAAAGAAGTTATTTGTAGATTGAAGGCTCACCTAGCCAGGCACGGTATACCAGACAGAATGGTAAGTGACAATGGACCTCAGTTTACCTCGGAAGAATTCAGACAATTCGCCGATGCTTATGAGTTTCAACATGGTACGAGTTCGCCTGATTATCCACAGTCGAATGGAAAGTCTGAGAACGCTGTAAAAACTGCAAAACGAATAATGGAGAAGGCGTTGGCAGTTGGAGCAGACCCCTACCTAGGATTCCTGGATTTCCGAAATACTCCAACTGAAGGTTTGGATACGTCACTGGTGCAGCGTCTGTTTGGTCGTCGGACAAAAACACTCCTACCCACATCCAGTAGATTACTGTCGATGAGAAAGGACGATTCGAGTACGGAGCGAAAGTTGAACGATAGGAAAAGAAAACAAATGTTTTACTATAACAAAGCGTCGAAGAGTTTAAAGCCGTTAAAGGAAGGAGATACAGTGTTCGTGAGACCGGCGAGGAGATCGAAAGAGTGGAAGCGAGCTACTGCCAACAAAGCAATGGGAATTAGGTCATATGGGGTAACTACGGAGCAGGGAAGCAAGATAAGGAGAAATCGGAGACATCTGCGTTTAGCCAGCAATGAACAGTCTCCGTCAAATACAGTTAGTGCGAAAGATATCGGGGCGTACGTAGATCCGCCTAGACCATTGATAACGGACAGTAATCAGAGAGATCAGCCTGATGTCGGAGAAACGAGAACAACGATGGACAATTCAGGACCGTTGACAACCGACAGTAATCAGATAGACCAGCCTGATGTCGGAGAAACGAGAACAGAGATTGATGATTCAAACGACAGTACCCGGGTATCCCAGTCTAGGAACAGCCAGTCCCCTATACGGTATAGTTCGAGAGGGCGTGTTTTAAGAAAACCTGTTTACTTAAAGGATTATGTCTAAAAGATAGATGAACTTTTAATTAAATTAGTGACTGTTTACTATTAAGATTTATTAATTAGAACTTGACAATAACTTGTTGGTGGACTTTAAGAAATTTAGCTATCCAATTGTTAGCACAAAAAAAAAAAAATATATATAGAGTAAAGTGTAGTTAGGATTTAATTATAGGATTTATTAATTAAAGATATAGTTAATATTGTGTAAAAGAAGGGAGATGTGTCGGTATTTGTATTAGCATTTCACAAGACAATTAGCATACCATAGAATATGTAATTATGTATAAAGGGCTGTCTCATGATTAAGCCAGCATCACTTGGAATGCATACTTGTACGAAGATAGACCGGTTTTACTGTTAGATATATCTTAATAAAAGATTCATATAAACCACGACGTTACAGACGGAACACAGCTATATCCTCGAAGTGGACCTAGAATACCCCGACGATCTTCACGACCTACATAACGATTATCCTCTAGCACCCGAAAGGATAACAGTTAACAAGGTAAAAAAGCTCATCCCTAACCTCAACAAAAAGGAAAAATACGTCATCCACCACAGAAACCTAAAACAGTACCTAAGCATGGGGTTAAAACTAGCCAAAGTACACCGCGGAGTCAAATTCCTCGAAAGGGATTGGATGAAAAAGTACATCCAACTCAACTCAAACCTCCGTACCAAAGGGACCACAGACTTCGAAAAAGACTTCTTCAAACTTATGAATAATTCCGTATTCGGGAAAACCATGGAGAACGTAAGAAACAGAGTTGACATCAGAATCGTCAACGACAAAAAGAAATGGAACAAGCTAGCCAAAAAGCACAACTTCAAATCAGCAACCATATTCTCCGAACACCTTGTAGCAGTTCACATGAGGAGAACCTCCGTGAAACTGAGAAAACCCATCTACCTAGGAATGTGCATCCTGGACATCAGTAAAACCCTTATGTATGAACACCACTACAACCTCATCAAACCAATGTATGGGGATAAGGTCAAACTACTATTCACAGATACAGACTCACTATGTTACGAAATAACCACCGAAGACTTCTTTAAAGACATTTCCAACTACGTCCACGAAACATTTGACACCAGCAACCTTGGTAAAAACCACCCATCCGGAATCCCAACAGGTGTCAACAAAAAGGTTCCCGGAATGATGAAAATAGAAACAGGAGAAAAACAGATCGAAGAATTCGTAGGACTAAGATCAAAACTATACGCCTACAAAATGGCAGAAGACGGGAACGAGGAAAAAAAATGCAAGGGTGTCAAAAAGGTAACCATCAAGAAAGAAATAACATTCGACAACTATAAAGAATGTCTCTTCAGCGGCAAAAAACAATGGAGAGGAATGAACGTCTTCAGGAGTAGACTGCACGAAATCTATACGGAAAGGGTCGTCAAGGTAGCCTATCGGCAAGCGATGGCAAAAGAGTAATTAACGAAGACGGAATCAACACAACGGCAATTGGACACAAGGACCTAAGGTAATAGGGACCAATCGGATCAATTTTAATACCCTCAAAGGGGTGTTAAAATTATGACAAGCTTATAGAAGCCTATTCCACAGTTCCGCAACCTTTACCCTCAAATACTTTGCCTCCTGAAGCTTAACCTGAACAGAAACCATGTTTCCGGATAGGTATATACTTGAAACCCTAATCAAAGCATCCAAGTAAAAATGTTCATTACGCTCCTCCATCGGATTCATGTCTCCGTCCTCCCCATACATCACCGTACTCTTATCAATCTTTGCATACAGGACAGGTTGCTTCCCACCCCGATAGAAGCACCTTATTATATTGGTATCGGGTTTCCCGATAACCGCAGCGCACTTCTTCTCTAATGTTTCCAGAGCTAATACGAATTCCGTGTGCGGTCCAACTGCTAACGGAATAGTATAGTTGTCCTTTCCGAACTTATTGCTCTTGTTGATTCCATAGGCTAAGCAATTCTCCAGCCTAAGTAATAGAGGTCCACCACCCTCAGCAGCAAGTCCGATCTTCTCAGATCCAACCTATTCCTGATGGGATCCCCAAATTTAAATGAGTCCCCGGAGAAGTCTGATACTCTGGTAATTGACATGGTTCCTTTTATTTATACAAAAGCTTTTTCTTTAAACTGTTTGCGGATGGGCAGACAAGTCCGATCTTCTTAGACCCGAAGCTGTTGTTTTATCCTGACAGGAAGCGAAACGTCATCCTGTTTACCTTTCCCCTGGCTTTTTCAATCTGCCTTCGTACAGACTCAACAACGACAGAGTACGACGCTGCCGCCGTTATATAGACAATGGCAAAAGTCACTAATATATTTGGGAAGATTTCCTCAAAGACTTCAGGAAAACCCCAGCAAGCGCGTGGGTAGGGGGGAGGGTTGCGGAAGGATTGCGGTGGTTGTGGCGGAGGCTGTGCGGAGGACTTGTGCATGGCTGCGCGAGTTGGGGAAGAGACTCTCGAGGATAGTGTGTTCCCAGTGGGGCGCAAGGGTTGTGGGATCAAGCATGCCCAAACTTGCCCGGGTACACTATAATTTTTCTTACACGAAGTATTGACATTTTATGGGATAAAAACTGTAGTGATGATTTTATGCGATAAAAAATGTAGTGATGAGCCAGTACCGCCACTTATTAGCTACTTACATTGACCTTGTCCTTTCGAGTGAGACCATGGCAAAACCGAAAACCGAAAAGTTGTATTTTAACAAAAAAGCTGGTCTTCGTTTTAATAAAAGTCTGTGCAAAATTTCAGGCAAAGTTTTTCACCTAGGTAAAAAGATACAAGACTAAGTCGAAACATTTTTTCCGCGCTTCCTGCAAAATAAATTAATGGCTAACAGTCGTTTCATGTAAGACCATGTCACTACCAAATCGAAAAATCATGTTTTAACAAAAAAAGCGGACTTTCTGTTGATAAAAATCATAAATTATATGATACTATATATCATTATAACTGTACATTTTGTGGTAAACAGCTATAGTTCATACATGAGACAGTATGTTGAAATATCAACAAGACATTTTTGTCCATGCATGAAAAAAGTATAAGAGAACTTTAATGCAATGTATATAAAGAAAACTTTTTGCCCGCTTTGAAAAGACACTTCTCATTGACATTGGATTGATAGAAAAGTGTTAGTTTATAAATAAATTATGCTGACAGGGTTAAAAATTCTTAAAACAATTATGTTCACCTAAAGTTTTTCCACGAGCCGACGGCGCGAAGCGCCGTGCGAGGGTACTAATTCCCCCCGGCTATTTACACCAGGGGAAACGAAAGCATTAGCGAAGTCTAAAGTTCATCAATTATCGCGGGCGTGAGTCACCAACGGTATTCGAGTGTTAGGTGTGTGGTCATCCTCACTGATCTCAAAAATATGGCGGACTGTCATGAATAGCGGACACTGATTGGTCCAATTTAATGTTTGCATTATAACGACTGCATGACGACAGTGAAATAGCAAACATTTCTTCATTTCTTGATTTGATGATTGATAAATTTCTTGCAAGTATATTTCATTTTTGCTCGCATTTTGGCAAGATTTTAGAAATTTCAAAAGGTTTCTCATAAAGAAAGGGCGAAAGAATCGGCTAAAAGAAGGGAGCCGACGTTAACGAAGGTAAGTTTGTTTTAAATATTGATTTTATAATGACTTTAAAACCCGACGGCCTTTGCGTATATGAAACAACTATTACAAGACAGCATATAATTTCAGTGTATCTTTAATAATATTGATTCCCTTTTTTATTATATTGAATTTTTTAAATAAAAAAGAAAGCAAAGTCATTTGCAAGCGAGAATTTGAAATCATTTTATTGCAAACTCAAAGCAGTTTATCGATAAAGCCATTTAATTAAATTAAAGGCAGTTTAGTTTTATAAAGAACACTTTTAAACGTTTTGCGAAGCGTCTGTGGTTGAATTTTACCTTAAATTAAAGCTTATATTACGTATAATAACATACCTAACATATATATGTTGGGAAATTGATAATTTTGTATTTAAAAATGATATTTCTAGGCGATTTTTCATTTGTAAGAATATTCTTAAAAATTATCGTGTTACCATGACAACTACTTTAGATACTTCATGTTCGGAAAATACAATGGTTTTGTGAGCAAGGCGAGGGTTTCTGCATGCATATGTATTTTCTAGTTAAGAATTTAATTTACTGAAAAATTGTATTGCAGTGACCAATGTTGACATTGGCCGAGTTTTTATACTAGAGACGCATTATGCGTCTGGACGCATAATCCGTCTTCTACATTACTCGTCTAGTATAAAGACGGGACGAATAATACTAGACGAATAATGTAGAAGACGGATTAATATGCGTCCAGACGCATAATGCGTCTCTAATATAAAAACGGCCAATGCGACGAACTATCAACATTTATTGTTCGTCTGGTTATGCGTCCTCAGTATAAAGACGGGCGCAAGAAGACGCATTATGCGTCTAGACGAACTATCATCGGTCGTGCGTCTCTTAAGACGAAGAATCGAACATAGTTCGTCTAGACGCATAATGCGTCTTGTGCCCGTCTTTATACTAAGAACGCATAACCAGACGAACAACAAATGCTTGCCCAAGTTCGTCCAGACGCATAATGCGTCTCTAGTATAAAAACGGCCATTGACTTTTAGTTTGACCGCGATTCGGTAGGCTTTTTATGTTTTAGCTCTCACGCGCTGTCGAGAAAATTATGTTAATGCCAAAATTTAAGCATAGCAAAAAAAGCCGGTAAAAGCCGGTCTTGGTATATATTGTGTACTAAAACCAGAGAAATTCCACGCATTTTTAAGCTATCAAATTCATCTACAATCCTTCACAAAAATAATTGAGACTTGCATATTTATCTGTAAAATTAGCAAATTCTTACCCTCAAGAGCTCGTCCTTCCTACCACCCCCCTCCCTCCCCCTTAAAAACAATGTTGACTGTTATTGCAAGCATTGTGCTACACAAATTCAACTCAATCACGAGCAACATTGCTCTGTAGG